AACTTTTGAGATATGAATGGTTTTATAATTTGTTCTAGAATATTCTAAAAAATTTTTTGCGTACAGTACTATACGCGCGGCACATCACTACACGTGACACATACTAAAGATTCATAACTAACAAATAATAACGATAAATAATAAACTAATCATTTTTTTATTCCAAATAACTCAATAAACGTAATATATATTATAGCCAGAAAGTATTATGATTACAGTTTTTCTAAGTATTTGGAAAATTCCATTACCTTATAAAATGATTATAATCCTCCAATTTATGCAATAACACAAAGTTTTTATTAATACTATCGAACCATTTGTTACTATTTGTTTTCAATAAATTTTTGTTACTGCGTCCTGGATTCAAATAAACAATCAGAGTTATATAATATTCCGGAAGTGCATTAAAAATAAGATCTACAAGATCCTGGTTCAATTGCATTTCTTTATGCTTTTAATGATCGCTTTTCACTTTAAAGAATTGAAGAAAAAAAAACACTTGCTAAATCAATTATGTTAATATTTTAATGAATATTATTATCATGAACTAATCATGATTAATTGAAATATCTCATGATTTTCGAACCTTTTTTGGGTGGCCGGTCTAATCGTAATCTGCCGGGACAATTTCGTTGTGGCAACTAGGGTTAATCTTTACGTTACGCCTGATCTTGAAATTTGATTTGTAGATCTGGAAATCTGCGCCACAAACCTGGCACACATTCAAGAATTGCTTCGATATTGGCATTATTGCATTACGACAATAATACGGCACGTACCGTTGCCGGATTGATTAGCCAAATTAATTCTACTGCCTACTATATATGTAGGAGTGTTAGTAACATGTTTAGTATTGATATAGTAATTCTTTACGATTGTGTCAATGTCAATACTTCAATTTGATTTACATAGTACATAGTACACTGGACCATTTTAAAAAAGATCCAATTTATGTATTTTATAATTGATATTTTTTATTATATTATATAACAAAGATTATTATAGTGAAACATTAAGATATTAAAGTATCTATCAAAATACAAAATATCTAAAAAATAATGCCTATGCGTATTTTATTTATTATCTATTATAACATGTATTAAAAAGTTTTATAAAAATAAATATTTTATTCTTCTCAGAATAATTGTTTATTAAAATTTTATAATTTTTTTTATAATTTTTAATTTTTTTTGTATTTTTAATATAATTGATTTACAAAAAAGTACTTATTTTAATATAAGAAGGGATTTTTACAAGTTTTGAAAATAGATAAGAAATTAGACATGCTATTATAATATATACTAAATTGAGACATATTACTATTTCGAAAATAAGTAGGAGTTTAAAAGATCCTATTATTTTTAAAATCCCAACTCAGGGAATTAAAATTGGGTTTTTTTTGATAGATATTTACCGGTAAACAATTATGTAATAAGTTATACGTTTAAAAAAAAACAAGGTTTATGAAACACGTATTTTAAAATAAATACGTCACTTATTTTATCTGAAATTGGAGACCAAGTCCTTGATTCTGAATCACCCTATTAAACTTCTTCCGGAACATAAAAACAATTTTTTATTTTAGTAATTTTTCGAGGTTGACAGGAATTTTTTTTAAAGTTTCACATTGCATGCCCCTGAAGATCAAATTTCAAGTTAATCAATCTTTATTATCGAATAAAAGAATAAAAATCAAAGCCAATCTTACTCTTTAAAGAAAAAAAATTAATTACCATCGGGTTTATACCATAAATTATGATTAAAAGTTATATTTACAATCTTCAATCCTAGATTGTATAAGTTCTACAGTAATCTGTCTAAAATAAGCGTACCTACATATGAATATACATATGTGTTTAGGTATGCACATACATGTGTACGTACAAACTAAATTATATTATACTACTCTATAATTAGTTATTTATTAATTGGTAACCAATTAAAATACTTTTCTTTAGTGGATTCCATTATTTTACTATATAATGTATTGCACACAAGTCATGAACATACAACTGATTCCCCGCGAAATTAAACATGGTACAATTTATGTATTGAGAAATAATACGTAATTGCTAAATTGATTATATTATGTAATTCATACCAAACTTTCTGAAATAGTATAACATGAATTTCAAAATAAAGTTCAAATTTAACGAAGAAGCAACCAAGAATATTATATAAATTAACAAAGTAAGAATAAAATAATAAAAGTTACATTCATTACATCATTATCATTATAACATAAAATCTAGGATAATTCTTGTTATATTTTATATTGGATTTTACTCATTTTACTCTTACGTATAAAATTACAAAGTTTGTTACAAAATATTTGAATTTCAAGTATGTATCCAGGTTACTCAATGACACAAAAAGCATATGATCAACACGTATGGTGCACCAATCAGAACGTGGATTATAACTAACCAATAAATCGAATGATCATTCATTTTTTTTTGGCGGATTATCAACCTATTTGAGTGATCCTAAACGTTAATGTATTGCGTAACTCAATACGTATACGTAGATTGTTTTCTAAATATATGTACGTATCAATAACAGGAAAAATCAATCAATAAATAGATCCACGTATGCGTTTAATTGGTACATCTTATAGGTAACAACGATTGAATATTAATCTCCCTATATAGAAATAATGCATTAACTAGTGATATATTGAAAAAATTTTTCTTGAATCATCTACTTAAATAAATGGTCTAGAACCTTTTTCATAGAGATCATATACCAAAGAATAATAATCTGTACTTAAGAGCAACTATTCTATGCATATAGAAATAAGCCGTTGCGTATTAAGAATGGCATCTTTAGATAATACGTACATATAACAGTATAATAGGTTTAAATGCGATGATAGAATTTTCAAATAGAGTTTGTTAGGGTTTAAACATGTATGCATACATGCATACAAAATCTGCATGCGCATATACGTGTGTACATATGTGTATGCGTGAATTTGCACACTAAACTTTCGAATTGTTATATACATACGTTCGTAAGTACGTACGAACGTATTGTACATAGTATTCCACGACACTTGGCAATGAATTTCGGTTCTACTCCCTTAAATTTGTACACAACGCCATTAATTTTTAATGAATAACCATTTTGGAGACATTGCAGAAATAACAAAATATAATAGCTTGGTCAATTCACTGTCAAACGATCCCGGTTATGTGAAAATGAATACATATTAATATACTATTATAGTTTTAAATTTTTATAATGCACTATTATGTTATCATTATGATATCAGACTAAATTTATACTAAATTTATTGATACAACATAAATTGTTTGTAATTTTGTTTTACGTTACATAACATTTTATGTTAAACAACCTAAATTAAATTTTTATATGATTTAATAATCAATTTTTATAGGTCCTTTAGAATTAAGATTTATGATCGAGACTTGTTAAATTAATGATTTATATATATAGTTATTCATTTCGATTGTTTGTTTTGTGCGTTATCGATATGCAATGTGAAACTGTTCCAAAAAAAAAAACCACCAAAATTAATAACGGCGATAATTAAGATTTATTTATAATAAATACTCTACGGCAAACAGGAAAACACATTACAGAAAGTTTTGCTTTCTTTAATAATATGCGTATAATTTACATACAAATAATATAATATTATTTAAAACAATAACTTTAATTATTTAAAGGCATAAAAACTTTACGAACAAAAATGCCAGAAGAGAACCGTGAAAATGATTTAAATGAACTAAGGAAAACAAATCAACATGAAAATGATTCAACTGAACAAGCAACTATAACTCATGATAAAGTTTTAGAACGAAGGGTTGTTAGGAAATGTGATTTTTACATGCTACGTATGTATTTATATAATTAACTCTCTTGTTCAATGTAATATTATGAATTGTATTCTGAATTAACTCTTATAAAATATATATATATATTTTTTAAATTATTTTAATTAGCTATATTGACCACGATATATTTATTGGGCATCATTGATCGCTCCAACGTAGGAAATGCTACTATTGCAGGATTTGATTACAAATACTTGAATTCCACTCCATCAGAATATAATCTCGCAATAGCAATATATTTTGCTTCTTATATGGCATTTGAAATTCCTTCGAATTTTGTAACTAAAGTTTTGGGGTTCCAAGTTTGGATGCCTATAATAATGCTTTGTTGGGCGGCTGCTTCTATGAGTCAAGCTGCATGCAAAAGTGCGCTTCAATTAGGCATAACTAGATTCTTCTTAGGTTAGTATTTATAATTAGTCAGAGGATTAATGTTTTAGGTCATGTTAAATAATATTTTTCATTTTAATAAATTTATTAATATAGGAATGGCTGAGGCTGGTTTTCCTCCGTCTGTAATTGAATATGTCGGGTTTTTTTATGCAAGAAAAGAACTAACCTTAAGATATTCTATCTTTATGGCTTTAATTACCATCTCTGGCGCACTCGGTGGGATTGCTGTAAGTAGTTTTCTTAAAGTTCTGTTACAATTAACAAACATTAAATAATATAATAACTAATTTAAATTCTTTATTAACAAAATAATCATTCTCTATTAATAATTGTTAATAATTGTTAATAATTATTAATAATTATTAGTCATTTTTCATAGTCAACATAGATGAGGCTTCATTAAAAGGGTTTCAATGGTTATTTATAATTGAAAGCATTCCAACTATCATTATGGCTATAGTTGTTGCTTTATACATGACTAGTGGTCCTGGTGACGCCCGTTTCTTAACACCTGAGGAACGTAAATTTGCTCTTGATCGTCTAAGACCAGAAGGTGGTCCTGCCCCTATAGATAGAAAAACCACAAAAGCTCAGATAAAGCTTGCGTTCAAGGACATTACAATCTATGTTTACCTAATTTTGTTATTCCTTGGTTCGATCCCATTCAACGCTCTTAATTTCTTCCTTCCAACCTTAGTTAAACAACTTGGTTTTAGTAATGTAACTGCTCAATTAATGGTCGTACCACCACTTCTTGTTTCAACTGTCTGGATGACCTTTAATTCTTGGGCATCTGATAGGTATCAAACAAGAACTTGGAACTTGGTGGCTTCATATTCTTTATCTATCATTGGGTTAGTAGGAATTATGGCTACAAACTCTCAATTATATACCTTAAAATATTTCTTCCTGGTTCTTTTGTCATGTGGCGCATACTCTGTATTACCAATAGTATTTAGTTGGTTCACCTGTAATATTGGTTAGTATATATATATATATGTGTTAATATATGTTTAATATTTAATATATATGTTTAATATTTAATATATATGTTTAATATTTAATATATATATTTAATATAAATATTTAATATAATATTTTCTAATATTAATATTTGTAATTTCTACTAATATCTACTACATTTTTTTTAAAAAATTTTAATAAGTCGGTCAATATAAGCGCAACATATCTATTGGAACAATATTAACCTTTTCTAATGCTGGAGGATTTGTTGGAATTTTAATTTACCCAGCTGACGAAGCACCTCTATTTATTAAAGGAAATCTTATATGTTTGGCCTCGGTAATTTTACAAACTATTTTAACTTTTGGATTGAAATTTTATTTGGAAAACTTAAATAAGAAACGTGATTTGGCTATTTTAACTGCTAAAGATTATAAAATTGATAATGATTTAAAGAAAAATACAAAGAAACTTAGAGAAATAGCCATGAAATTGGTGGAAAATGAACCGAGATTTGATGAGATATTGTGTGATAGTCATCCTAATTGGAGATATATCACATAAGTAATTTTAGTGCAAAATATGTATATAAGATATGTATATATATAAATATATCTATATATATATAGGCTTTGAATTGGTTCTATTCGTTTCATAATATTACTCTAGTAGTTATTTAATATTGTAGTTAGTATTAAAAATTATGTCTATATATATATATTATAAACAAGTTGTACTTCTAATAAATATAATTCATAAAAATACGAAAAATTTTTCTACATATATTTTTTTTTACTTCTATTTCAAAATACTTAATCAAGTTATGTCACTAAGTTATAGAATAATTTTAAACTTAAATTTCTTTAATTTGTATGCCAATAAAAATATTTTCCTCATAGCTCCTAATGAAAAAAGTCTTAAATTTTCATATATGCGTTAATTCGTGATCCTCATATCAACCAGTGAAAGAACGTAGGAAATTTACTATTATTTTTGCCATTTTCGGAATCTGCCGTTATACAATGTAGAGGAGGGAATTCCGATCATAAATGCAGTTAAATTGTCAAAATTGGCCGGTGAATCTAGAGATAGAAGTAGAATGGAGGTTTATTTACAATCAATTTGTCCTTTGGAAAACGTCAGAATCTAGAAATGCAAAAAAACAAAAATGGTAATGTTTATTGTTATAAGCCCCCAATTCCTTAATTTATACATATGTTAAACAACTAATTTCGGAGTAACACTGTAATGTGTAACATAACAAGGAACAAATTAAATATTGCGCACTGTGTTCAAATTATCATTTTAGCAAAAATCTCACTTTTATTTGTGTTTCGTGTTTCGGGAATTTATTGTATGGGAGTTATTATATGGGAGTTATTATATGGGAGTTATTAGATAAGAGTTATTATATGGGAAGATTTCTGCTGAGAACATTCGTTTTTAACATTAAAAGTAGAAATTGTTTCCGTATGTACAGTTTTCCTATTTTCATATCAATCAGCATCCATAAATATCCTTTAATTTATTAAAGTTTATTTTAATATAAATTATTTACATTATCATGATTATCTAAATTATGTTTAATTTTGATGAATCCAAAATTGGTTGAATTTAATTATATATTATATTAAAATTTTATGTTTAAAGTTAGAATTAAAAGTGAGCAAATATGGTTCATGCGTGCGCATTTCTGCATGAATCGGTTTCATCTGTATGATATTTCATATAAATATTACATACTATATAGTAAGTAGTCAAAATTCATAATGTAATACGGATTACATTTATTTATTTTATAGGGAATATTAAAGAAGGTTTTATTCAAATGGGCTTAACCGTTCCTTTGATTATGTTACATTATTCATCCCGATGTGTTCATGCAAATACTTACTATGAATTTAATGTACATAAGAATGTTTATTATATATTGCAGATAATTTATCTATCATAACAACATATCTTGACAGGTCTTTCTGAGGGGTGAGCCGAAAAAAAAACAATATTTCTCAGCTGAAAAGTCCTTCTTCTGTTATCCCATATTTATGCGTGTGCAATATAGAACAATTCCTTTTGTGACCGTCATCCCTACAGCCTCGTACATACGTACGTACCTTCTTCAATATGACTAAAATTATGACTGTTGTTTGATAATCCATCAAATAATACATATTTTCCAAACAAGCTTGTTATTCTGACTGGCCACCCCTTAGAATTGGAACGAAAAATAATTAAAGTCAGTTACAAAAATTATTTTATAAAAAAACTCTCCTTATCCCCTTAAGTGAGTAGTTATCTTTGAACATGAACCGAAATTAATAATAGTGATTTAAATTAGTCAGCTGAAGTTGCAACCTCAGTCGGGTATCAATTACAGTCAAGTAAATATATATGTAATAGTTATATCCTGGGCAGTTGAGTATAAGCGGAATTTTGCAATAAGTATAATCGGCCGCGTAAGCGCCGATTATATTTTACTGTAAAATTTCGCTTTATATTCAACTGTTCAGAATAATAACTTATCTATCATCTGGCATCCATGTAACATAACTTTTATTTTTATTCTCCGGTTCTTATTTATACTTCTATACTATCTTTCTTGCTATTAAGATTCGGTCTGATCCGGAGTCTTTATATTTCTTTTTGAGTATATATCTTTTTTTGCTTTTTTTTAACGTTATACTAATAAAGTTACGAAAAGTTAAATTGTTGGCTAAAAAAATGAAAGAAAAAAAATTTATGATTGTAGTAAAGCTAAACTTTATGAAATGTATAACTTTAATTTGAAAAAATAGTGTAGAAGTATAATAAGAATTTGGGAATAAAAACAGTAATTATTCATGTAAGCAGATATTAAGGTGAGGCCTTGCTTATATCTTTATTAATAATCTTAATTGTAAATTTTAGCACAAAATGTGTTGAAATAAACTAAGATTATATACAACAAAATAAAAATTATATACAAAAATAGAAGTTTAGACTAGTTTATCTGTGATTTAAATTGAACTATTTTTATTTACTTATAATATAAAAGCAAACTTACTTAGAAAAATTTTAACTTATTAAATATTAGTTAATCTTAATGCAATATTTAATAATACTTTAGTTACTTAAAATATATATATAACATATTTATTTATTAAATATATTATTTTTAATCTGTAATATAAATAATCAATTTTTTAAAAAATAAATATTAACTATTTTAAAAAATAAAATTAATAAAAATTATATAAAATTCTTCATATAAGTTTTATAATTATATAAAAGTATTTTTAAGTTTTTAATAATTTTATTTTTTAAAATATTTTTTTAGTTTAAATACTAAATATATTAAAAAAATTGTTAAAAAAATAATTTTAATTGGAAAATAAACAATTAGAAGTATATTTATTTTTTTGTATTTTATTTTATTTTATTTTTTTTAGTATTAAGATGAGGCCTTGCTTGTATCTTTATTAGTAGTTTAAAAGTTAGTAGCTACATGGAGTTGTTATGTATAAAAAGTAATTTTCTATATAAATGCTATGACTAAAACCAACACTTGCAGTCAGGGTTAAACCATTGAACTGCTAGTTATATAGCTACTCTAAGTACAAATAAAAGAAAAATTACATTCAAGAATAAAAACTTAGACATATTTATCTGTAACCTAAACCTACTAGAGTGATCAAAACTTACCTAAATTTGTAAGTTTAGAATATGGTTATAAAAAATATTGTATTTGATTCAAAGAATAGTTCAGACATCGATTTTACAAATAGCATAGCCAATAGGTAAACAAGTATTAGAATTAGAGTGTAATTGATTAAATAGTCACATAGACAAGAATATGTATAAATTTTGTAATTAGAGTTTCTTTTGTTGCTTTGATTTAATTGAGATGAGGGTCTAACATAGGATGGTTTAAGTTCTTATTATTGTTTCCAATTTAGTAAAGCTTATACAATATGGTTTTCATATTTGTTTGTAAGAAAATTCATTAACTTTAAGCAGAATAGCAATAATTGTTTGTGAGACTAGTTTATATAAAATATTAAAGTTTTGTATAATATCAATTAAAGATTTAGAAATAAGTTCTTTAAATGTAATATCAAGATAGTGTTGATTTGTTTGAAGAGATATAGGATAAAAGGCATAGTGTTTACTGATTTTGTGAATAAGTTCTTCTTGTTGATTAATAAATAAATTAAGATCTGTATGATTAATGTATTCAGATATGCTAGTTTGAATAATATTAAAGATAAATTATAAATTTGAGCATATATGCTAATGGGTTGGGAAGTTGGCAAGATTACAATTGAAGCAATTAGTATTATAAAATGTATATGGATAAGTTTTGTGAAAAAAAAGTAGATAAAAAGTTTATTTAATAAGATTTTAATTTTGAATAATTTAAGATAATTGAGTTTAAAGATAGTAACATTATAAGTTAGTTTTTGGTTATGGTTGAAAAATAACCAAGTTGATTTCTAGTCAATTTGAGAAACCAGAGTTTCTATATTATGTTTTTGGGAGAACTATATTGCTAGAATGTAGACTTTACAGATATTTTTAATGAAGCTTCTAGTTGAATGTTCAATAAAATATTAATCCCAAAAAATTATATGATATAGATTGTAGATGCTTGTATAGTTAAAATATAGTATAGGTGATGAATTATGTTATTTTGCAAGTAAGTTTGCTAAATTATTAAGAGTGTTATTAGCATGTACTTGTATTTTGTGAAAGTTAATCTGGTGGTTATAAGATTTGATGATATTAAGCAAAGTATACTATATAGGTCATAAGCTGAATTTGAAAAGCTTCTTGGAATTTGAGAGAATAGTATATATTTTAGAATATTTAGTAATTATAGACTGAGAATTGATAAAGATATTAATTGTTGAGTTGCAAGAAGTGATTGAAACAGTTGAGAGAATTATATTAGTTCAGCTTTATAAAAAGATGGTCAGAAATGAATTTTAGCTAAGAATTGGTAAATTATTTGGTTGAAATCATTAACTTGTATCTATCTAATACCCATTGTACATTAATCTGTACTGATGTCAATTACAGAGCCATCAGTATAGAAGTTAAATGTATTTTGTGCTATATTGGTAAAAGAATATTGTTTTAGTATATATGTAGCTTCTCTTTACTTAAAATTTTCTAATATAAAAAAGTCAGAAATATAGATAGTGAAAGCAAAAGGTAGGATAATAGATGTTTAATCACAGTTAACTGAATTAAATCAATATAGTTTGCATTAAAGTTGAGTATATTAGAAGAAACTTTTTTAAAAAATTGTATAGAAATTAGTAATTTGCAACTCTATAGGAGTTAAAATAGCAACCTGTATAAGCTGAGTATTGAATTGATAAGAGGAGGTAGTAAGTAAAGAGTTCTGTATTAATATTTATATTTTAGTATGTAATAGATATTTAATTATTATGTTTAAAATATCTGTAAATTTTGCCAATAATAATATCATCATTATTGTATATTAGTAATCAGGATTTAAGTCTTTTAGAGATATGTTGAAAGTTGTAGGTAAAAGGATTGTGTTCAGTTTGTTGATATTA